TATTTTTAGTGACCTTTTTATCGAAAATACACGTTATTCACCTGCAATATAATCGATCATCAATTATCATCGATGAGATATAAAATCTAACATGTTTCTTTGAAAATCTCATACGCTTGTGAAATAGATTCTTACTTATGGTTTGTTCTATAAAAATTAATCTACAAGTAATATACAATCTTCTTCCTCTTCTAACAGCTTCCAAAGCTTTACTAGCTGAGCTGGCTAGATCGCTTCCAAGCGGCGCGGTACCATCGTCCATCGTCTAAGTCCATATATTGCTGGTTTACCTATACGTTCAAAATCTTTCCTGATATACAAGTAATATACAATAAAAATAATAATATATTTGGAGATATAATTGCTCAAAAATTAGGTTATTTCTCCTATTTTAAACGCCAGTGGTAGGGTTGTATTACTGACATGAGTAAGAATAAGCCTTTTAAAAAATCTTCCAAAAATCCGAATAATGCTGACGATTCAGCTGTATTTTATACTACCTAGTGATTCCTTGGCAAAATTTTATAGTATTTTTATAGTATTAAAATACCAGTTTAATCTTACTCGTCGAATCCGAAAAAACAGCGGAATAAGCCTATGCAAAAAAAAAATATTTTGGACAAATTACAAGATTTCATATATGATAAAAAAATGAAAAAAAAAATATATCTAAGAATCTGCAAGAAATCTTCTATTTTTTGCACCGTTATAATCGTTTTAGAGAAAAGTTATACGGCACACTTCTTTTTTGTCCATTTTTTATCCGCCATTTTTCATTCTTTCGACATCTAATATTTATATTAAATTGTTTATAATTTATAATTTCTGTTTTTTTTTAAAAACATCGTCCATCTATTTTGAAAGTATTTTATTGTTGTAAATTGCACTAGTTGAGATGAATAACTTTATTAAAGAACTGGTATTTTAATACTATAAAAAATTGATGATCGTCTCATTCTACACGTTTAATTCAAGTCTTGAACATTTGACCACACAGCGATCGAGAATCTTTCATTTCCTGTCCATAGTTTGGTCAATCGCATTCCAATCATTGTCATTTTCTTATTCATTTGTCTTTTATTTTTCAAATATTATTATTTTTTATCTTAAATCTCTAAAAATATTTATTAGCCAATAAATTATGCAATAAGATTTAAAATATAGATGATAATGAAAATGATATGAAAAATGAAATATTTTTAGAAATATTGTCTTGATTATTGAATATGTTGAAAATTTTTTTGTAGAATAGAATTACAAAATTTCATGGATAAAAATAAATAGAACTTCGATATTTTGAAATGAAATACGCTGAGTTCAGTTAGTGCTTCTTAGTGCAAGCAAATAAACCTTCGAGAGCACAGAGCTAGGATGAATGCTTTTTGAAGATAGCCTGAAGACACTTTCATTGTAGGTTCACTTCTTTTTTTAAGAGCATTACCATTGCCGATTAGACTCATTCCGCTGTCTTGTCGGACAAATATGCCAGGGAGTCTCTTGGCGATAGAAATACAGATGAATCGCCAACATCATTCATAGAGCGACGACAGAAATATTGATAAGTTCTCAGCAGCCACAGGGATTTTAGATTATGTGATAAGTTTGCACTTATCGATGAAAATAAGCCAAAATATGAAAAGAAAAAGATGAAATTTAAAATTGAAATATAACTTAAAATTTGGCTTAAAATCTGTCTTACTGCTATCTGTCTTACTGAATTCAGAAACGCTGAATAGAGCTCGAGCCAGAGTTTTCTTTTCTGGTTAAGAAATGGACTCCCTGGAAAAATTCAACATAATATGAGGATTAGCCGCACAGATTAGAGCTCAATGTGGTGCAAACCGCTTACGGCAAATTACATCCATGAATGGTACTATGTCCTTTTATAGAGTAATAGATGGAACTAACAGATTTTACAGATTGTATAGAACCATTTTTGTTGAGTTTCTGATTTCATATAGTATCATTTTTTGATCCCAATTAATTCGTCATTTTGCTATCATCACTTTCATCATCACTTTTGCCAGTTTTATCAGTCATTTGCCACTATCATTGTAAATAATTTTTAAACTTTCCGTTTTTGGTCAATGCTTTTTGGTAATTTTACCATTATTTTAATGAGCTATCGTTAATTATTAGCCTTAATATCGTCAAAACTTATCTGAATAGTATTGCTTCCTAACAATTTGCCCAAACTTTATTTCTTGAACCACTGCTATATCGTATTTCGCCTTTTCAGTTTATAATTGTTATTATTGCTACTATTTGTATTATTTATTATTACTGCCGTCTATTATTATTAAATATTTATTTTTGTTATTATTTACTATTATTAAATTGCTAGTAATTCAGATGGATGTGCATCAGAAATGAATAAAGTATTGTTATTATTGCTTGGATGTGCTGTACAAGGAGAACAACGAGAAAAATTTATTGAAAGGATTAAGCGAATGGAAAGTGACTTGCAGAGTGCTATTATTAAACATATAGAAAAGGTACTGCTCTTTCTATTTTAGAGACTTCAAATCACCTTTCTAAAGTTGTATTAAGGTCCGCTAACTTGAGGTACATGAGAATGACGTTGTTTTATTAATCGAGCCATTCGGAGAGTTTACTTATTTGCCTGTTAAACTTTTTGGTTCATTTTAAAAACTAATTGAATGAAAGGCAAATTTTAATTGTCATAAGATTTATTTATACGATGGCAGTTTTCTTATCTTATCTTAGTCAATTAATATTTTATACAGAAGCAATACATTGGCCAAATAGCACAAACAAAGCTGTGCGATTTTGTAAGAAAAAAGAAGAGAAAGAATTTGAGTTAAAGTAAAATGTTTAAAGAGTTTTTAAAGTTAACTAAGAAGATAAATGGAAAATAATTTAAGCATACTTATAGGCTAAAATTGCAAATAATTTGAATTTTATTTAAATCGCTTATAGAATTATTTCTTTGTAGAATTTAAGCAGTGGTAGAAAGCACAAAGCTGTGGGATCTGTGGTTAAGTTTCATGCACGTTTTAGTAGCTTCGACCTATCAGTTTTTAGGCTTAAACAACAATTGTTAAGCAGGTTGTACTTTGGATTAATATGACCAAATATAACTTTGTAAGCACAAAAAAAATTTTTTTTTTTATACTTATTAAAGAATGTGAATTATAAATATTAAATTTAATTTTATAATTCATGGATGAAATAAGATGATACAAAATTCGTTTCTGCAAATTCGCTATTTATTTAATCGTCGTCAAATCTGAAAGCATAGCAAAATTGTCAAAATTCATGTTGTTAGACCAGATTATCTCTCTCTCTCTTTAAGACCACCCTCCCCCCACATGCTTCTCAATATTCTGCTTTTTCAAATCACACCTTTCTTTTCTAAAAGCTCTCTCGGAACCAGTTATTCAGACTCTTCAACATTCCTTGAAGCTCAATTGTGTTTCTTTGATTAATTATCATAAACATTTTTATATGTTTTGAATTTCTTAGATATATTATATTATACAGTTTTTCTTGTGAATTTTCCTATTCTTTGGCCAAGTTTCCGTAAAAAACAGTAACTGTTTAGCTACGGTAAATAAAGTCAGATTAGCCATAAAGGGTGGCCAAGTGCTATATTATTGCAGATTTGTTCCTATAAAAATTATACTGATGAATGAATGAATATATTTATCTCGAGAAACCCATATAAATTTAGATAAGTGCACTTAATTAATGCTAACATTGATTAGTCTATAATTTGAAAAATTGGTTATACTTTCTAAATATAAGAATTATATAGAATAATTTTCAATTATAAGTTAGAAATTTAAAATGTATAAACTGAGAATAGTGCAAATTAGGCAGACTATACTTTCTTTGTAGGTTTGGGGGATATCCTTAAGGAAGGTTGCAATAAATTTACAAAATCTAGAAAGGAAATTTCCTTATAATCAAAGGCCAAAAACTACTTGAACAATCCGCAGTAATTTTAGATAAATTTTCATCAATAAAAAAATTTGAAAAACATTATCAAATTTTTTAGCAATATTAATATCAGCGATCATTTCAACTACAATAGATTCAAAAGATTTAAAAGAAACTTGAACGACGGTAACTACTAAGAGTACCCGTAACTGTAAGAAAGGGGCCATTAATCACTGAGGAACTATCAGTTGGAGTTTGAAGAGAATACCACTGGAATATAATTGAGATTTGAAAGGATTTGAAGGTAGTATAGTGGGTTTTTAAAAAAGTGTTAATTGCTTGCAACAAAATGTAATCAATTTCTAATTTAAGAATTTAATGTTCCAAGAAAAAATGGTTTAAAGGAGAAAAATGGAGTGGTAGTATTAAGTAACAGTTGGGCCTATGCAAGCGAAAGTGGCAAAAAAGGGATTCAAATATATTCTGATACATACATCATGGCAAAAAGGGATTGGAGATTTAGATGCGTTAAACGGATATTGCAGAATTAAGGCGGATATATTTAACCTGCATTGAGAATAGTTTTCAAATATGACAGGTTATGGCAGGTAAAGTTTTCAAACAGGCAAAATATGGCAGGTTTTAGAATCTATAGATGAATTTTCTTTAGTTTTTGCATATTACATGTTGGCAAATTATTATATAAATACTGGATGATAATTTGCTATTAAACGCAGCGACTAAAAAATTCTAAATTAAGATAGGTTAGTGATTATGACAGATTTATTCTGCGCTCTACTCCAAGCATCCGGAAAACTCCAATATATTTCGTTAATACTCATTTTATTGAACTGCGACTGCATAAATTGCAAGAGATTAAGGATATGCCTCTCTAATCTCTTTATTCGCTTTATTATCTTTCTATCATAAAATAATACATTAATAATTTAGCCTATTTAATAATTTAGTAATTAACACTGTTAAACGAGAGGCATTTGGTGTTTAGCTTGCAAATATGGTCGTCAATATTGTGAAAATTCTACCCTGAAGATGTTTAAAGTAACATATGTCCAATTTTCATTTTATATAATTTGCAGATGACAAAAGATAGTGACTGCGTGTTGAATGTTCAAGCCTTAGAGTTGGATACTCGAGACGAACATAGCGCTTATATTGTTGCACACCTTGAGCGCATAATGAAAGAACGAGATATTTATGCGAATAGTTTATTTGAAATTGCCAATGAACATGTTAGCTAATTTTATTTTGATAAGGCTTTGTTTCATGTAAAAATTTCTCATTGAGAAGCTTTACAGGAAAGCGATGAAGGAAGTATGACCACTGGATCATCCTCAGTGTCGAGTGAAATTTCTAGACCCAAGCAACAAGAAATTAGATACGGTTTGTGTAAATTTTTTTTTATTGTACGTATCTATAGGAAATTTGAAGAGCCAAAAATTATTTTTTCTAAAGCAAATGAAAAGAAATTGTTTTTGTTTTCTAAATCAGAAATTACAGAGATAAAAATTTCTTTACATTGTTGTTATCAAATGAATGATAAGCAAACAGAATAGATGTTTTATAGACAATAAGCTCGCCTATCGTCATTCCATTAAATAATACTAAAGAAGTTAAAAATACTGCAAACTTTCGAAAAAAAAGATACTACATATCATATTATCTGAATATCATATGGCTATATATCAGTTGTTTTCAGTTGTTTTATTTTTTATCGGCATTTTGAATAATTTTTCATTCTTTAATTGAAAAAGTTTTGAATAAAAATCATCACTGCGGTAAATTTAATCCAAAGACAATTGTAGAAAATCGCACGCCCTCACCAACATCGCAAGAAAAACACAACAATGTCGAATTGGCATCAATAAAGGCCGAATTCCGGCGATTAAGAAATTTAACGTATAATTCAAGATTTTTTTTTTTTCAAGATATTTGGCGATTTGAAACATTGCATTCTAATAGAAAACTTAAAGAACGCTTAGATCGTAAATGGTAAATTATTAGGACGAATTCACTTTGGCTGACTTTCGGCCTATTTTCTGTCTGAGAAATAAAAAGTGATTGTAATTTTGTTGAATATTTGTTTTATGGATTTAGAAAAAATGTTGGAAAACTTTCTTGCATTTAAATTTTTTCATTATTAAAAGAAAATTATAAAATTATTTTGTTAATTTAAAAAATCAGCGGTATAGCATATTAAATTATCGCTGTTGAATTGCCTGCCATAAGGGAATTTCAGCTAAACCAAACATAGGTGCCAGACTTTGACTAAGAGGCGCCTAGTGTTTTTTATTACCCACTAATTTATGGCATTTAAGAGAAGAGAAAGACGAAATGATTGCTGAATTAAAAGAAGAGCTTGAGGCTCGTGATTCAGATTTGCTTAAACTTCAGCAGGAACGCTTAGAACTGATTAAAGATGCCAGAGCAGCTAAGGATTATCGGGATGAGCTCGACTGTCTCCAGCAAAAAGTGCGTTACAAACCTTTCACTATTCAATAATACCAAAAAAAAACCCTTATTCCTTTCTTTAAAAACTAGCAATTAACGACGAAACAAAAGAAAAAAAATGGTTTTGTACTAAAAGTGTGAAAAAAAAAGAAACTGAATGAAATGAGATTTTTTTTCAATAATTTTCCTCTTATTTAAGACAAAAAAATTAATTTCACATTTTTTTTTCCTTAAAGATAGAAATATTTTTACAGCTATTTTTAAATTCAGAAACTGTAAAAGATTTAAATATGCCAATCAAATCGCTCATGTAAACCTAAAAATTTGAGGCTCATAAAATTTTAAACAGCCATAAAGTTCTCATATTCGTAGGCTTGAGAAATTTTTAATCGGGATTTTTCAAAACCACTTTTAAATTTTCGCCTTTCCTGTTTATATTCAATGTTTGAACGAACATTGGCATTAATTTGATGTGATTATTCATATATGTATATTTAAAGTTTAGGTGATCGATCTTGAAAAAATGAGAAGCGAAAATGATAGAATGAAGAAAAAATTGGAAGAAATGGAATTTTTCAAGTCTCGAGTCGCTGTTTGTTTTAATCCAATTTCCATTTCTTTAATTTTAAACTTAAAATCAAATTATATCAATTTCAATTTAGGATTTAAGTTTATGTAATTTTTTTTTTTAAATATTAAAATATTGCAAAATTTAAGAATCCCTGAATGAAATTTTAATAATATCAACGGTTTTTCAGCAACTAAAGGAAGAAAATGATTTGATCCATGAATCGTGTTCAGTATTGGAAGAACAACTTGAACAACTTCAAAGGAAAGCTGGAGCTCATTTTGATGTCGAGCAAAAACTTACTGAGTGCCAAAACCAAGTTAAGCTTCATCTCAATGACCTGGCTGAGGTGGGTAACGGACCTGCATTTATTTTCACTCTTATTTTTCACTTTTATTTTTCTTGTGAAGTATTTTTATTAAGTAAAATGTTCACAGAATCGGTTTTATTACTAGGAATCACGCTATATAAATTATTGCAATTCTAACCATGAATATTTTCTTCTGAAGAAATATCATAGAGGTAGAATGATTCAGTAGTCACTGCTTTCATTTCTGAGCGCCTGGTTTGTACTCCCAGCAGGAATAAATCGGATGATGTTGCCAACTCACCGATACTTCTGTCCCGTGACTCCCTGGTAAAATTTGTCTTTCTGATAAGCCAGTGGAGCAGGTCTAATCAGAAATGGTGAGAGCACTTAGAAGAAGAAGAAATCGTCGTTATGATCAAAGTGATCTAAATATTTTTTTAAAAAACGATTATTATTGCAATTTAGATGATATTCATACAATTTCAATAATATAATGTCTTATCCTATTTTTCCCTTCATTCATATCTTATTGCTATCACTATCACTAATATATATCATTTATCGCACACACTATGACCGACTTTTTATCAGGTTGAGTGAATGTTTATGAGTATCGAATACTATGTTCTCTAGGTGATCATGTTATAATCTTTCAATTTTTTTCATTGTTTGCTCTTTTTAACTGATTATAAAACTACCGTAGTTCTTAAGTTGGCACTCATCACGTTCAGTTAGTTACTTCTACTAATATTATTTATATTTACACTTCATTTTAGATTATTTCAGTGCTGTAATACCTTTGGCCTTCTATATTTTAGTGCACAAATGTGTAGATTCAGATCTCGTGCCGAGTATTTCTTGCCTGTTTAGTCTTTTCTGAAATGCTCTAAAAGTATTTTTATTTGATGGATATTAGATTAAAAAAGATGGTTAATAGATGATTTAATAGAAATTTTATATTATTCAAACTAAGTCTATCACAAAACTTTAGCTAATAGCAATGATGAGTATTTATGACTTTATTTATCTGTTATTGTTTATAATATTGGTTTTGTTCAGTAATTTAGTTGAAGAGTTGAGCATTCTCGATTTTCAACTTGTAATTTGCACTATAATTTTTATAGGAACGTAAAAAACGTGAACAATTACTAATTGAAAATGGACGACTCGAAAGGGAATTAGAATTTGAACGACATAATAACGCTGCATTATTACGTAAAATTGAAAATTCGAATGAACCAACAAGTGCTCGGGAAAATTTTGATTCACTGGGAAGTCAACTAGCAGATGACGATAAAAAGCGAATTTTACAATTAGAATTAGAAAATCGTAAACTGCGTAGTAAAATTGATAATTCAAGGTTCTTTATTGATGCTAAATTTTCGCTTTCTTTACATCATTTCATAAAGTTTCAACTTTTTAACGTTGATTAATTTCTTCAAATATTTTCGACATAATAAAAAAAAATTTTGGCATAATAATTTTTACTATTTTAAGAAACTTTAAGCAATGTTAAAGAACATTAATTACTCTCAGATGAGATTCATAATTTTCAGCGAACCGGACGATTCTGGTCCATTACGAGCAGAGTTATTGCGTACTGAGATTGAGCTTTCCCAAAAGACTGAACAGTGTTTAATGGCTGATCGACAAATTCAGCAGTTTGAACTAACTCTTAGTCAGCTTACCGCCCAATACAAAGCGGTTATTTTAATTATAATTATGTATGGAGATGATAGCGGTGATTATTAAAATTGGCCATATAGAAATAGTTGTGAATACCTAATCGGAATATCAGTCATGTATTAATTAGAAATAAATAATTTGATTCACTAGCAATATGGCCTATGAGTCGCAGTACATTTGATTTTCTTGAACAATTCGAATATTTTTAAGCGAAAATTTAAGAAAAAAATGGTCTATTGACCTGTTAAAACTACTAATTAGCTGACATCCCAATTTTTCTTAGGTTTGCGATTTGTGTGAGGCCATAAAAGAAGAACGAGATGCAGCACAACAAAATTTGCAGGAAGCTCGTCGTAATTTTTCTGAATTCCAGTCACACTTTCAAAATGAATTAAAGACTGATCTTAGTAATAAGGTTTGACCTGTTTTTTTTAAAACTCCCTCAAGCTATCAATCAAATTTTGCTAAATCGCTCATTGAAATACACTATGGTTTTTTAGTTAAAAATAATGGAAACATCACTGAAAGAATCTGAAGAAAAGTCGGAACGTTATCGAGATGAAAAGATAAGTTTGGAAAAGCAGCTAGAGGCAATGAATAAAAATGAAAAAGAAAAAGCAATCTTGGAAAAAAAATTAGAAATGCTTCGAGATGATCACAATAACCTACAAATCGAAGCCGATGACTTGAAATATCAATTAGAAATATTAAAACAATCAATGGTTTCGCTTGAACGACAAAAAAGAGATCTTGAAAAGGAGAAAAATATGCTAAAAGTAGGAAATCTTTATAAATTTTTATAGGTCATTCTTTGTTGGGTACCTCTAACTTGTTTCTGTTTCTTATATGGAACTTGAATTTGCTACCCTCATCAATTTTCTTTTCTCCAGGAAAAAGTGGAATCAATTGAAATTAAATATGACGATGCAAAAGTAAAATTAATGAATATGGAGAACTTAGAAAAGAAATTAGCTGCAAATGAAAAAAATTTTCTTGAAAAGCAGAATAAAATCTGTGATCTCGAATCAGAAAATCGCCAGCTGAACCATAGAGTAAGTTGGTTCTCCTTCTCTCTATGCTTCTTTAGATTATTATTTTTGTACTATTTAAATAAATATTAATTTAGGTAAAACTGGAAATAGAAAAAACTGATCGATTTCGTGATGATCTCATTTTCGAAAAATCCCGGTGTAGCGATCTGGTTTCTCGCTTACGATCAGTGTGTAATACGATTCAACTGAATGGAGGAAAATGTGATATACCGGAAGGTGATGAACAAATCATTGCCACTATTGATGATATTATTATGAAGGCGCTGGTTACGGCTCGACGTGAAGCAGATGCACTACGTTTACAGCAACATACTCAGCTGGCTGAATTGAACGATTTAAGGAGGGATATTGAAAAGTTGAGGTGAGGCGATTTTTAAAAGTTTCTGATATAAATATTTCAAGAAAATCAGCCTTAGGCCTTGTTTTTCATTTTATAAATTTTGCTGCATATATTAATGAACTGTGTTATATTGCTATTTCATACATTGTGAGAGGTTGATAGATCTATCGACCCTCAAATTGAAACCAACATAAGGAAACTGTGGCGAATAGTTTCGGTGACAATGACAATGGCGTTTATTCCTTCAAATATTTCTCTCTTTTTTATTTATATCGTTTAAATCTTCTCCGTTAATATAGTGTTCCAATTTTTTTTCGTTCTGAAGCAATTAATTAAATTTTTTTCTTTCTTCATTTGATTTCTAATTAGAATTTTTGCTTTATGCACATTTTTTAAAGTAAAATTTCTTAAAATATTCGTTTAAATTGTCATTTAGAAGATCAGAAAATGAAATATTAAATGAAAGTGATGATAAAGTTCGTGAACTTTCTGTGGAAAACAAAAATATCAAAGATCAGGTGTGTTTTAACTAAATGTCTAATTTTGGTAATTATTAATCTGTTGGGACCAAAATACGAGCTGAGAATTATATTTCGTTTCAGCTTATAAAGTTTATTTTAATCATTAATGAATTCGATGGTTCTGCTAAACCATTGAATGTATGAAAGAGCCCCCTCAGCTTTTCCGGACAAACTGAATATTTCTACTCTTTTTTGTTTTTTTTTTCATACATATATCTTTTGTTATTGTCATTTCTTTGAATATAATTTTTTTAGTTCAAATATTTTAGGTATTTCTTTTGCAAAGTAAAATTCGTGAGATACAAGCGGAGAATTCCGCTAATTGTGGTGAGATGGTAGCTATGAAACGAGAACTTCAAGAAGCACAAAAAAATTCGGTACGTTTTGTTTTTGTAATTTCAAAATTACGTTTGATAATTTTGCGACCATTCAGAAATTTCTTAGCAATGTTTAAATTAAATGTATTTAAAAAATTCCTTTCTCACATCCTGTGATATATGTAAGTGATTTGGGTCAACAATCTTGCGACCTCTACCAAAGGCCTAAAAAATTGAGGCAAGACAGATAAGGGTCTTACCTAAGGCCCTTCATCGGAAAGGCGGAGAAGATTGGCTGCGATTCGAACCGTTGTTGTATATTTATCACCCACCTTAATTGTATATATATGTATTGTACCTTTATATATATATCTAAATAATACCTTGTGCCTTGTGTTTGTATATCCAAAAATAATTTTCATCTATTTCCGCCAAATTTGTCAAATTTTTTGAAAATTGTCTCGATCCTCCACAGATAGCGTCTTCTACTTTCTAAATTAAATTATTACCCTCATAACCCTTTATACCTCCAAACTGCCACTTTGTCGGTTTACACCTTAAAATCCCATTTAGTCCTTCAAACCACGCCTTATCTTCCTAGCAACCGTATATATTCGTAGAATTTGTTTGTACCCCTTCTTTTAATGCTTCATCAAACCTGTACATATACTATTTTATTGTATTTCACCAGCAATATTACTAAACCTGCTTATGCAATTTTGATTCCTTAGGTACTATAATGATCTCTTAATAAATATCTCAAAACCATTTGTAGTGTCGGGAAAATGTTCTTTTAATCCTCTTCAAAATCGAACACTACTGCGTTATTTTTTATTTTTTAAAAGCAAGTTATAAGACTTCCTTAAACTCAACATTTACAACATTTTCTTCCATTCTATTTTAAATCCTGTGGTAACTTATCACGATATGGTAATATAGTTTTTTATGTTAAAACCCTTCTACACCCACTATGATCTGCCACGCTTCATGAAAAATCTCAAATCTCGCCAAAAATGCTAGAACCAGTTGTATTCCCTTACCATAATTTTTTGGCATTTGAGATGGTTTAACGAAGTAGACAAATTTGATCGAAATAAACACCTAACCGCTTGCTACCATTTCAACTTTTACAGACCCAGTTAAAACCCATTAATGCTTTCATTCATTTGCATTTTATTCATTTAACACTGTACTAAATCTCTGAACCTATTTTTGCCGCAGTTATGAATTATGAAATCATCATATTGTTTGGGCCACCATGGAAATCAAGGGATTTAAAGCAAGAACTGTAGGCCTTCGAAGAGGTAAATATGTATATATCCTTTTACGCCCTAAGAACCTTACTATATTCTTTTATAAAGGTTTTAAAGAAGTGCAACAGGCAAATATCAAAGGGTAAGGCAAGATTATCACGTGCTTTAGGAAAAAATTCATTTATTCTCTCTCCGAAATTTGCCTAATCTTGTCAGGATTCCTCCTTATGCCAGCCAAATGCCGTCTCTCTCCCCTGTCAGAATCTACTTAAGTTCTGTTTCACTTAACCCACAAGTAATATTTCTTTAGATATCGAATAACCCTTTAAGCCAGGGTTTCTCAAGGAGATCGGTGGACTTGTATTTCTTTAAATATTTCATAAAAAAAATTTTCTTTTGTAGTTTCAAGTTGCAAAAAAATTGCAAACTGCTGCTTGAAGACTATTGAATTCTTCTTTAATTTCCTCCGGAACCTGTTACACCACCATAATATCCCTCATAATCTCTATATTCACTTTATGTTCCATGTGCATGTTCTTTTGCTCATATCTCATTATATTGAACATTATAGTTCATTGACACTTCATCAGATCGTATTATGCATATCTTCAATATGCCCTCAATCATCCTTTTACGCCCTAAGAACCTTACTATATTCTTTTGATAAATGTCAACAATAACAACTTAAATTCTTTAACATTAATTGCGATAGGTTTAATATCATATGGTACTGCCAAATGTAGCCTGCCAATAATCTGTGAAAGTCCAATAATCTGTTATAATATTTGCGAAATTTTGGCATGCTACGTTGAAACCTTTTGTTGTCCCCTATCCCTTAGATTTCTCATATTTTTTTGCAAAAAGTTCTCGTGCTCTTCCAATATATCCAATATATATTTTATTCTCTTGCCTCAGCCTGTTAGATATTATCTTGAACAACCATAAATTGCCATTTAAATCCCCATCAGACTCATAAGCTTTTTAAGGAGACTGGGTCTAATCAAAATTTGATCCGACTTTGTAAAAAGTTTTTTTATACTTTGTAAAAGATGGGGTCTTTGCTAATTTATTAGTTCTAGTGTAATAAATTCGCTTAAATTCGCTCTCTTATTTAATGTAGTTTGTATTGCTCACTTTTTTTTGTTCAATAAGTTAGTTAAAAAAAAAAATCATTTTGTCCTTTAATCATTTTGTTCCTAAATTTTGATAAACTTCGTGATTCTGTGGCAGCGAAGTATCTTTTAATGATGGCTTAAGATACCACTTCGTTACAAGCTGCTAATACTTCTTAAAAGCCTCTTACTTGTTCAGACCCTGTTATATTCTATTATATTTTATTGGTACCTCCCTCAAATTCCAATATATCTCCATATTTCTCATATTTCCTCCTTTCATATCCTTTCTTTTCTAAACGTTCGTACTACGGGCTTTTTCTTAGTATTTATGATAATAAACCATTCATTTAAAAACATAAGAATAATTAATTGGTTTCGTTTATCAAATTTTTTGCTTAATATAATAACATAATCTTAGCAAATTATTTTTTGGAACATTAAAAATGATAAAATCTTAATGTTAAAAAAACACGTATAAAACACGTATTTTTGATTATTGATTTGTTTATTAATAATTCGTTCCAAAATATAATTTTGCTGTAATAAAAGAAGAAGCAGATGAGGATAATTGTAAAATTCACCTGCAGAAGCCAATGTCTACTTCGTGACTTTGGTTATATATATATATATATATATATATAATAGAGGTTTCATGCCACTTATGCCAATTAATTTCATTTCACATGAATAATATAGGAATACTATAGGAATCGTTCATAACGTTTATATTTGTAGAGCATTGAGTTTAAGCGAAAATTTTCCTGCTTTATATGAGATGTTATATTAATTTTCCCTATACGGTTGGATACTAATAAGAATAAAGGAGGAGAACAAATATTTCTCGTTATTATGCCATATTTTTAAAATAACAATTTCTATATGTAAATTTTCACATAAATTTCAAATTTTTAAAATATTCTATTGCCTTCCACCGGTTTTTGCTTTAATCCATATGGCACACAAACTCAATATTTTAAAATCCAAGCATCATTTTCAGGCAAATTCTAAGAAATTGCACACAGAATTGGCAAAGCTACAGGTCTCTTTACGGAATTTGCAATTGCAAGTAAGTTTCCTCAGTCATCTTCATTGCTAAAAATCACTCGTAATATTTTATTTCTAAAGTTGAATAGTGAATATATTTTTGCTAAAACGTAAGTGTCGACGAAGATCGAAAGCAGATGCTGTGCACTCATCGATCACTTTTTTTTTTTCATTTTCGACATTTCAGGATGAATTATTGAGAAAGGATAATACGGAATTGCAAAAGCAAATTAGTTTTTATGAACGGCAAAAAAAAGCTAGCAAAGTTGATTTTGTAAGTTTTAGAGCGAAGTTTTTTTTTTAAAGTTGTAACTGCTTTCAGTGATTTTTTTGCGAAATCCAAGTCCATCCATTTATTCATTAGTCGTCAAAAATTCTTAAATTATTGGCATAGTACTGAATATTTTTGTTGCACAAATTAAATATTTTTAGATTTTTTGCTATTTTTTCCTATACAAATAGGTCCATTTTAATCTAATTTCTTTTTTAAAATTCCAAATGACCTTGTTGATTCTGTAATTGTTTCCTTTTTTATATTATCGCGTCCATTAATTTCATTTTTTTACTTTCTTTCTATTTTTTATTTATTTTTTTATGCGTTAAATTCAAATCCGCGCTATTTAGGATGCCTTACAATCAATGCACAATGCACTTTTGACGGATCATGATCGTTTGCAAACATTACATGATTTATTAACTGTTGATTACGACCGAATCAAACAAGAAAATTGTGATTTAAAATTACGGTTGAAAAATCGAAAGGTATTTTTCTAAAAAAAAAATTTGCCCGAATTTTACACTTAATTATTTTCATATTGTGATATTGAACTTAATGGCTTATTTGCAAAGAAGTGACATAATAAATGCTTCTACTTTATAACGAATAATTAGCGTCGATTCAACACCAAAGGCATTTTTACAATGATTTATTATTAAGTCGAATGTTATTATTTGCTTTAATTTAAATAGAATAAAATGTACTTTAAATTCAGTTAAATTTTTATAAAGAACTTTTTTTTTATAGGGAAACGCCGAAGAATTATTGCTGATGAAATCGGAAAATGATCGCGATCAGAAGCATATCGAAGAGCTAAAGATTTTACTTGCTGAAGAAAAATCTCGTCGAGTGAATGAAACACGGCGATTGAATGCTGAGATAATGTCACTTCAGTCTGGGTGAATATCACAACTATTTTCATTCGTGCACTTCTGAATTTCTTTCAACCATTATTTACCATTATTAACAACTTCTTTTTGAGAAATTTATCCTTGACCCTATGACCAGCTAAAGTCGATAAATTATTATCATCATGCCTTTTTTGTTGTATTTTAAAAACAATTACATTTCACTCGATTAGATTCTAGAAAATACTTTTTTTTATATGAGAAGTTTTTAAAGTTTTATTTAAGTTTATAAATTTTTCATGATAATTTTATGCTGCTTCTATTCAATTTTTTGCAAAATTTTTCATTGCTCTTTATGAAAATTTAGAAAAAATCTCGAAATCTGATAAAAAATCTCATTAAAAAAGAACCATTGTACGATCATCTATCTCTTTTTTTTGAAGAATTTTTGCCCGTTAATTTTTTATCTTATTTTTTACTATTTTCTTCATTTTTGTTAACGTGTATTCTCTTCGTTTATTCTTTTTTAGCAAATTTATGAAAAGTAAAGAAAAATTGTTAGAAAACTTATTAAATATTTTTAATGTTAGAACAATTGTTTAAATTTACTAAGCGTAGCAAAAACTTTATCAATAGGCTATTTTATCATTTGCTTCTTAATTAGTGGCTAATCATTTTGTTGGATTATTGCTAATCATCGTATTCTTTTAATTTATTAGCATATTATATATTAAGAAATTAACATTTAGGCGAGATAAAGAATTACAAGGTGAGAAATCGATGGATGAAATCCGAAGGTTACGTATAACTGAACAGACTCAGCGTTCTACTATCAATCATTTAGACGCTAAAACAGGTGATCTAAATCGATTGCTTCATTTGAAGGATGCTGAAATCAAAATGTTGCAGAAAAAATTAGAGGTAGATTAATCTTTTTAGTCTTCTTACCTCTGAAAGGAAATATCTAAGGAAAAAACCAAATTAATAAGAAAAATGAATTCATATATCGCGTATGATGAAGCAATAATGATTTCGATCTCAATTTTTGATTAATAATAACTGCATAACTCATTGTTTTCTTTTCATTTTGCTTATATTCTGTAAAAGTTCCTTCTTAGATTCATATCAATAAAAACTAGCGAAATTCGATTTTCGAAGAATATCTCTTAGAGGAAGTAAGTATAGTGTCAAATCCTAGCAAAAGAATTTTAACGAGTATAGAATCCATTCAAACTAGATTAATAAATTTTAACATGCTTTTTGATAATTTAGACTCATATGAGTGGAACATTGGATTCAGATGCAAAATTATTAGTTGGAGAGCTTTGCCATCTATTAACGCAATATGAAGATTTTCTACTGTGGATTTTCAATAGCATGAATTCTCGATTGCCTGAAGATAACGATGACTTACATGTGAGCCTATTTTATTTTATTTATGCTGTATAAATTTTATTCTTTATTAGAAATCTACTAATGATCAAGTAAACATGCATTTTTAGGAACGATTTTCATTCCTACGCTTTCGTAAAGAAAAACTGCTAGCGATGGTAAAAGGGCATTTTTGTTTAGGGAAAGGTGGCGATTCAGTAACCAATAATTCATCTGCAATTTGGGGAGCAAAAGCATTTATTCCAAAGGTTTATTTAGAAATTTTGAAGTCTACTGGAGCTGGCCAATCAGTCTTGGCTAGGTTTTTAATAGAATTTCCTTTTATTCATTCACGCCATTTTTTTCATCTATTTCAATTCATTTATTCCATTTTTTTTTTTCAATTTATTCCATTCCTTTCACTTTTTTAATTCATTTATTTTGAATTAACTCAAATGGAAATACAAGCAAACATCTCTAACTTCCCTTAATCCCTTTAACTTTCTATCAGCTTTCTATCAGTTGGGTTAGAAAGAGATCGGATTATTTGTTAATACTTTCAAATTAGATCAACCCATCGAATAACAATTAATTATGATTATGATTGTATTACGATTAAACATGGAAGATCATTCGAAAATTTTCCCATGGAATTGTCGTGCGAGATGATAAGCGGTGCAATTATGCCATATTTTAGCCATATGCAAAAATTAACAATGGCTCAGTGAGTGGTGTAAAATCAAATGGTTCTGCTGCTGATGAAAGTAGTGTATATTCAACGAACGAAAGAATTGATGGCTTTTCACGAACATCCAACAATGGTATAATTTTGGAATTCCACACTTCATGCCATTTAAAATTTTTCTATTTAACAGCATTTTTGTAAAAATTTAATGTAAATTTTCAGATTTTTTTTCAGATTTATTATGCGATCTAGAAAATCGACCGAGTGGTTCAGATTCATTATCGAGCAGAGAAATCGTTATATTCTCGAAGAAAGGTTATCCTTTAATTTTTCATATTTATTGGAAAATTACTTGAAAATAAATCGTTTAATTTTTATCAAAATTTTGAACTTGTTTGTTGATTTGCCGAACGTTTAAATAGGTGTCGAATAAGCCGAGAAATATGAACATCTCCAATCTTCAAACAAATAATATATCAGAAGATAGACTATATTGTTAAAAATACTCCATAAGATCAGCAATTTTAATTTTAATTATTTCTCAGAGAACGGCAATCGCAGCTGTTTTCAAACAGCAAAAACATTATCATCTTCGGCCATACCTGATGAAATGATTGATAGGATTAGTTTATGTGGTAATTTTTTTATCACATTATTCATTTATTACAATTAATTTCAACTCCGATATAGAATAATAGAGAAGTTTATCACAATTCCGGCAAAAAATTCTGTTTTTATCGTTAAATTATGATTTTGCAGGTTCTGAACGCGCTATTGATGTTGTTTCCCCATCACATTCTCTTCCACCGCGTCCACCAGTTCGGTCTTCTCCAAGTGCTCGGTTATCTGCTCCTATTAGACCTCCACCACCACCATACAATCCCAATAAATTTGCAAAAAGGGGGACAAGTGATGCGACTGTAAACAAACCATCACCTCCTCCATATTCAGGCTTATCACTGGTCGGTATTATCTTTTGAAATAATGTTATATATTTTTTTTATCTTCTTCTAAACTCCTTTATTTCATTTTTATGTAAATTCATCATTTATATTTCTACGACTGGTGTTGAATGCATAATAAAATAGTTCTAGACTTCTAGACGATATTCCAGTTTTTTTTAGCAAACTGAGACCAGTACTTTCTTACCACAAGACATCTCTACTCCAAAGAGCGCGACATCGGTTCCAGTCGTGGTGCCTGAAGGTGAAGCACGAAATTTTATTCGACCTAAGGAAGAAAGATCGGAAAAAGCGATGAGTTTATATGAAAATGTAGAATGTGCGGAAAAAAATGAAAGCACTGTTTGGTATGAATATGGATGTGTATAAGCATTTATAATAAATGTTTCTTTTCTTTTATTTTTCCAGGAAATTATTTCGTTCCTAAATTTCGGAGACAATAATTTAACCTTAAATCTTAACTAATCGTCTTTATCGATCTTTAATTTTACGCGATATTTTTTATTATATTTCAATTTTGAAAATTTCATATGAAAATATATAATTATCCATCTATTGATGCAATTTTGTTTATAGGCGCTAAAATTTCTATAGTTTTATTTATATTTTTATATTCACCCAAAGATATTTAGCTATGCTTGTTTAGTCTATCATTATTTCTTCCTCTTATGTGCACAAAAATTGCCTTAAAAGCAATAATCGTAGGGCAAATTTAAGAAATTAAAGAGCCATTAAGTAAATATTTAAATAATGACATTTTGTGAAGATTTCTTTCAAATAGTAAAACTGCACATGGTCACATATGGGTGATAATGATGGATTTGCATGTAACATAATTCATGTATCTATTTATTTGATATCACTGATAAATTAATTGTTTTTTTCGGTTTTATATAATTTAATATAAATTAATTTTTGATGTAATATAAAAATGAATTTATGGTGTAGAAGAAACACGAAGAAATAGCAAGATTTAGGATTAGATGTCCGAAGATGTTAATTTCCTACCGATACTATTAGCCACAAGGCATAAGTCGATGGGAAGCAGTATTGTTCATGCTGTGGTACCTTGCTTGCTAGCCATCAGTGTTTGTAGTTGTGGAAGTTCAGATTTCAGCGGCATTAAAAATTAGAAGCTATAAAATTGTTTTGAAATTAGCTTTTCATCAATGTAATTTTTTCCATTTTTTATTTCACTGAACTACATTCTGTTGAACTGTGTAAGGTAGAATTCAGTGCGAAACAATAATTTAATTATATTTCGGCCTGAATTTAATCGTTTTCTAAGGTAGATAAGTCATTTTCTAATATCTGTGAGTTCACTTTTACAATTCTGCATCGCCATTATGGATCATGCATCATCTTATAGTATATTCCTATGATAATGAAAGGAATTTATGAAGACACCTTTTCGCTAATGATAAAAAAATTATCGACTCATACATCTATCAGCGTAGGCCTATATAATTCAATCAGTAGAAATTAAAAAGCAACCTTTTGGACCTTTATAGTTGGATTTCATTTACAGAATATTCACTACAGGTGACAGTATTTAACCAATTATAATATTGTTGAGTTTATTCACAATTTTTTAAAGAAATTTACTATAGGGAAATAATGTTATAAGCCGTAAATTTAATATTTGTTAATCTACAAAAATTAAAAGTTTTATGGATAATTTTATAATTTATAAAAATTTTGCCCCAAATGGTTGGCAGTTTTAAAAAATTGCAAAACAATAAAGCTTTCACGCAACATTGCATTTTAAAGAATGCATCGTCAAGCAAATTACATTACATTAATGAAAATAATAGGGAAAAATCGTTTGATCATTCTGCCTTTCAACACAAAGTTCTTGTTCAATTTGAAAAGAACAAAAATTATTTGTTATATGCAATAATCACCCAATTCATTTGGTAATTATTTTTTTCAGCCATGAGTCAACCAATTTTTTTTCATTCATTCATTCGTTTATTTCGTTCATTACACATATGCAAACTGCAATATGCATATGAAACGAAAAATGAATTCGGAAGATTACACTTATAAAATGAAATAATCGGGAGATAAAATAAAGCCTTTTTTTATAAACGCCCAATATAAATAATTATTAATATGGAATGTTAAATTTATATTGAATATAATGCAATAGAATAATTATTGCTCAGATTCTCAGACCGTCTCAAGTGGCAGAGTTCGAATTTTACTTTCTGCAAATTTGTCATTAAAAGCTTTCCGGATTCGGGATCCTGGAGCTCCCGCTTGTAGTTCTACCGCCGAATGACGAGATGGTTAGTTAATCAAGTACTCACTCTTGAATATAGGAATAATAACTCGAAAATTAGTGGACATAACTCTATTGGACAATGGTGAATAATGTGCTTGTGCTTTACAAATTTGCATTCTTTTCTGCATTCTATCCCAATGAATTGCAACTGCAGAAGGATCAGCGATTGCGTAAATGCGTTCACCATTTTACGTTAAAATTTGTTTCGTATAATTATAACATTTTCATAATAAAAGGCCTTAAAAACCAATAAAACCAATAGAAATAAAAAATTGCCAAGCAAATGGAGTAAATTTTCAAGTAAAGATGGATTTAAGTATTTCAATAAAGAAAATACGAGAAATTCGTTAAATTGAGAAAAAATTACTTGCGCAAATATTCAAAAGACATGAAGCATAACGATCACTGAAAACGAGCTGATCATATCAAACTTAAAACCATCCGTAACAAAAAAATTACGATAACCGCTTAAACCATTCATAAAAATATCCTTGCAACGAATCTTGATAGCATAAAATAAACTTTATATACCAAAAATAGATGCTTGTTTTGCCTCGCCTTGATATTCCACGGTTAAAATGAAATTTTTTATCAGGTTGAACTAAATTTCCAAATTTTTAGCTTATGGCTTGGCTAAATAAAAGTAACCTTAAATATAAAATGCTTGCGAAACCCGTTGCACTAAAATTTGTTTATTTTTATACTTTTTTATTTATAACTAATCAGCTTTAATCAGTTAATATAATAATTAATATTATAAATGAATATATCGAAAATCGAAACAAACAAGCAATTTACGACAAATTTTTTATGAAAGAAATGCCTTCTTCTTCTAGTAACTCGTACCTTTGCTGGTTTGGCTCACTCCATTGGTGAATAGAATAAGAAATTTTCAAGTCATTTGATTTGACCTTATATCTGAAAGCAACAGAAGCCTTTATTGTAAATGCTGAGCAGCTAAAACATTCAAAACCAATCCTGAACATATTTTAATCTTGATAGTGTTTTTGGAGCCATTCACTATGATCACTTTCATCCACAAAGCTTGGCATGTAACGAGATATACGTCACCCCTTGACGGAAGATTGGTCTGCTTGGTTTGATCAACACTCTGCGATGATAATGATAATGATCATATTAATACTAATAATGTTCATATTCGAGCAAAATATTACGTGACCGTAGCTTAGGAAGGAATGGTCAAAGGTAGAATAGCTTATTGACATCTTCCGATCACTTCCATTGGCCATGTATGTTTCCCAGTTGTAAAAATTACGGGCACTGCAATAAGATAGACTTTCACGATGATTCCAAAAATGTTTCACCAGCTGATGAAGATAAAAATATTTTCAGCAACAATTGCAAGCGCTGCAAGTTCGTTCACTGTTTTAGTACGAAACTTGGTACGAAATCCAAAATTAAATTAAAAAAATTTTTCTTCACCAACTGCTATTGCGTTTGTGAATTTGAGTTATGGTATAACGCCACTGTATAATGACAGCGCATGAAAATTATTTATATTTCTTGAAGTTGTAGAAAGTGAAAATCGAGCAATCTAGGTGAACAATTTTAGCCTAAAGGAGAGAAGAGATTATGCGGCGCTCTTTTGATAAAAATATTTTACCCATTAATCGATTTTATGACTCTTCATTCGTAAAAGACCAATTAAAGCATATCAACAATAAGCCGAGAGTAACTTTTTAAAATGCAAAAGGCGAAAATGAGCGTTTTAAATATAGAAAGGAAAGAATATCGAAAGGATTAGCTAGAAGGACAGAACGGTTAAAATTACGAACTATGCACGGAATTGCAAATCAGGCTCTTAGCTAGAAGGACAGGACGGTTAAAATTACGAACTATGCACGGAATTGCAAATCAGGCTCATGCACTTGGAGCGGCAAAAAGAAAGAAACTATTGAATGGTGCGCGGCATTGTTTTGTGATGAGAGATAGAGAAAAATGTGGGGAAATAAGAAACGCCTTTGATGTTGCCGCTGAAGTGTGAGATTCGGAAATCCTGAGGCAGAGGAGTGTCAACGAGTCGTTGGGACAGTTGCTTCCTAAACATCCTTAATTTCACTACCATTGGGAAATTCTATTTTTATAAAATAAATTTAAATTTCTTCTAATCTATAAAAATTTCAATCAACTTAAATATTTATATATAAATAAATATATAAAGGAAAAACAATTCGAATATTCCATGGATTATTTTTCAAATGAGATTTATTAATTATTCGATTTATTTAGCGATATTTAAAATTCGAAAAGATTTACAACAATGCTATTAATGCTGTCTTCTTCTTTTATAAGCCAAATAAAGCTTATCGTTTATTTCGCCTCTTTTCAAATTTTACAATTCGAGAATACGAAAAAATTTATTTAAACACGTCGTTGAAATATTCTTTTCTCCTTAACAATCGTATTTAAAACAACAACAATCATATTTTTTTTTTGTTTTTTCTAAAACAACTATATGAAATTTCCTTCGATCTATCGTATTAAGTAGGAAAAAAATTGGCAAAATATTGTAAATCATCGTCCTGGAACTTCGTGGAAATTAGATGTTTTGTACTAGCAACTAAATTACAATGTCGCCAATCTACGCTTTATCGCTTTTCATCTTCTTTTTTCATTTAATCAACAACTGGCCAAAATTAACAGTTTTCATCTATAACTACTCGGTAAGCATTTATTATTCTATCATTCATCTATAAAATAAGTTACTAGTACGTCACTCGAATCTTTTAGTGATAAAGATGACAATGATAATGGTGATGACGGTGATAATTGTGGTGATTATGTTTTTCTTCTAGTTTATAAATAACAGCAATACAGGCAAATAAAAAAATTTTTGCAATTACTACTAGCAAGAAAATGATAATGAACCTATTAGCTAATTAATTTTAATAATTATTAATTTTAATAATTGCAAGAATTTTAATGATTTTTTATAATTCGCTTGACAACAATCGCTTATGAATCTGTTATTTATAATACAGTAGGTAGCAATCCTCGAAGAAGATTCTCAAAAGAAAAGTACTCATATCTTGCTAAAATTCGCTAAAACTTTACTTTAAATTTATCTTTTCCTTCAATTTAAGGATTTACTTAAGGGAGAGCGGTTGTTATAAGAAGAAAGTCTTAAGTTATGGAAAATTCTATGAAATAGTGGGAAAACTACAATATTTTTTTTTAGTAAAATCGTACTCATTCTATGCACGAAAATTTACATTGACTATCTATTTCCAGAATTTTAATGAAGTGTGTCGAAATTTTTACCATAATCGATAATCCTGAGACCAATTAATTTTCGTCACAAATTTTAACTCCATCATTTGTTAATTCTGAACTAACAGATTACCAAAAAAATTGTTTTTGATTCAAGAAAAAGCAAAAATTTTACTTGTTTTTGCCATTTTTTATTGGATTTTTTCATGATTTTTATTATTAACCTGGGTGCTAGAAAGTTTTTTATTTGAACGCCTAATAGCAAAATATAAATATATATTCAAATTGGATAAAATTGCAGAATATTTGAAAATTGGCTAAATTTAATGCGAATTCATGTGAATACTATAGCCTATTTGTTGCCATCTCCACAGCCTATATGTTCACTCACAGCTATAGCTTACTGCTTGAAGAGAACATTTACCTGACCTAGTTTATTGTTGTCGTAAAAGAACTCGAAATTTGGCAAAAAATCCATTCTAGGTTATCTCAGAATACTTCAACTTACATTTCATATTTTCTTCGTCTTCTGTTTTATTCTCTTATTTTCCTTCTTAATTTTTTTTACCCAAAGCATTGAATTCAAACCACATCTGGAAGATTATATATCATTTAGAATTGCACTACCATTACTTAATCGTCCATTAAATTCCAACATTTTTATATCGTCGATCTTCAAATAATCGTTTATTCTTATTCAAGTTGAATATTTTCATGGATTTTTTTTTTGCTACTCCAAATGACTATGGCAAATTAGAAAATTGCATTCCATTTTTTCTTGTGATCAAATTGCTGAAGGATTTTCATTTGAAAAAAATTTTTTCTGATAAAATAAAGTAAAATTTTAACAAAAAAAAAAAATAATTAGCATTCCTTGTAAATTTAGCACACATGAACGAGATTATTCACCTTAAAATGATTATATATTAGCAGTGAAATGCGATAAAAATCTCAGTCAGAGTCAGCTAATGCCAGATTTTCCATTTGAATCTTCCTAGCAATCACAGGGATGTGTACTATGTAGAAAATTTGTTTCTGTCTTAACTGACCGCATTTATGAAATCCAAAAACGCTCAGCAGCTCATTGTTTCGAAGTACTTCTTAACTATTCGAAAATTTCTATCCAAAATATTACAAAATATCAGATTAAGAGTTATAAAGGAATGAAGAAACTCGTAAAAATGTTCACTTCCAGAAATTTGGTTACAAAATGTGCTTTAGTATTATAATTTTTGAATGAATTATGCACTTATAATTCTAAAAAGAAAATAAAAATTAAAAAATTTATCCAAAAATAGTAATAGTCAAAGTTATTATTACTAACTGCTATAAAATATTAAAAAAGTGAAAGCATAAAATATTTTAAAAATCGTTCATATTTATGGAGAGAATTTTCAGTTCCGAGACGGCTTATATGAATTACGAATTCGTTGGGATAGACCGCGTTTGAAAGGTCGATTTCCATATTTAAATGATTTTGCGAATTCGGTTAACGATTTCAATATGAATTATGGTTTGACGAGATTGTCTGTATGCGAAAGTATTCCCATGCAACTACGTAATTCGACACTTATCTACGAATGGAATATCTTAGAAGATGGAACATATTATAATGAAGATGGAAGCAACTATCGTTTAACTAGTGATTGTCAGATAAAATGGACTGCTCCAGCTCAGGTTCAGCCTTATAAAATCCCGCTTTTGCAGTAATGATAATTTGCTTGCGTTGCATCACATCAATGTGTTTAGAAATAAAAGGACTAAGGCTAAGCAAATGCTCTGCGCTTCTAGTTTTCAATATAAAGTATCATTTCTTGTGAAAGGGTAAAGGAGAATAATTTGTTTAGAAATATTGATTATAAAAGTATTTTTTAATAGAACTATTGTTTAAATTCAAAAAGATTGATCGAGAACTGTTTCATAGTTCGTGATATCCAGAAAATCAGCCGTTTCATAAGGCTTTTTTTTAAAGCTTTAATTTTAGCTTTCTCTCTTCGAACACAGATTAGAATTTAATAAGATTTGAGAGTTGCAAAATCTGCTTCCTTTCAAAAAATTTGTATGTTTCTAAATTTTTCTAATAAAAACGGTTGTATGCATTTCTAATAATATCATTGGTAGCTATATCGAATATAAGAAATCATAAATTTTTAATGCATTTTATAGAGCATTAAAAATATTCCAAAATTATACTAAATAAGCAATTAAATAAATAAATATTTTCATGCAAGAGTAATAGTAATAATCATGCAATTTATGGTAAAAGCTAAAAGCCTTAGGAAATTATAACGATTTATAATTCACTTTTTATACTGATTATAAAATAAAATCTCATGATTTATGTTTAAAAACTCAGTCTGATCAAAAGGGAATATTTTTATCTCCTATACTGAGCAATAATTCAAATTCTCCAAGCATTACAACATTGCTTCAAAAATTCCTTTATTCACTGTAAAATTAGTTGAGAATTTGGCATTCACCATTTCTACTTAAGCTGGCTCCACTCACCATTAGTATGATGCGACAATTTCGATTGTAGGTCCACAAGACCTTCTGGAATTTTTAAGGTATAATAATTCCTACCAGAAGGAGGGTTCAAAACGATTATGCTAGAAATGACAGGCAATTTAGCAGTACGTATTCGGTTATACCTCATTTATGACAAAATGATGTAAGAATGGTTGTTTACAGTTGAAAATCGTTTCATAGAAGTGGCGCATATTTGGAAAAATTATAAATATTATCGAAAGTGCTGTCGTGCAACCTTTTGCTTATTCACGGTGAATTTGAAGACAACCCAACTGTATTTAAATAAATATGTGGTAAACATAATATAATGAGCAGTACACCAATTATATTCTTCTTATTCTTATGGCTACCGTGTCGGAAGTTTTATGCATCACTTTTATTTAGCCAACCGAATTTACAGTGAAAGATTTGATGAAAAAATGAAAGAAAAAATATTTCCTCTCAGTATCGGAGAATTTATGTAACATTTGTGAATTTTTATTGAATCAGAGCATTCGGTGAAGTATTGCATCACTAATTTCCATTAAACATCCGCTGCATTCATATTCACTATAGTTTTGCTGAAATAATACAAAAGTAGGTTTTATAATAAATGCAATGAAAAAAAAATGCATTATCTTTGATTTTTCTGTAAAAAACTCGGTTTCATTTATTTCTCGGCCTGAGGGTATAAAAATATATTGTTGAGTTCAAAATTTATGAGGAACGCTGCATATTATCAGATCTTATGCCTTTAACCATGATTTTATATTCTGTTCATTACATTACACTCTAACCACAGAATCATCTTCCTTTTCGTGAAAATTCTAATATTTTGACTTCTTGTTTAGATTAGAGCATTTTAACACGATGTCCATGGGCTGGTGAGTAGTCCCTGAAATTCTACAAGAAAGAATTTATTTGCACTAACCCTGAAATAGTAATTTCATCAATTATTGACGCAAAGTTAAATAAAGTTGTACAGTGTTAGTTACAAATCATAATAATATTATCGGTGCATAGGCTTTGTTTAGAAATAGAGGTTATAGATGCTTTCGTGTCACATTACTTTCCCATTGCACCTTCATGTACTTTACTTTATGCTTTTGAAAACCATTCGAGGATAAGGATCCATATGCCTCAGAAAACCATCGGGAAAACTTTTGAAATAAAAAAATACTGAGAGATCCCAGGAGACGATTTGAAATCTAATTTTTATAGAGTTAGATAAAATATTTTAGATTTACACTTTAAGTTTTAAACTTTATGCGCATGACTTTGTTTTCAAGCCTATTTATAGAATGGTAAGAACTGTAGAACATATTCTGTTAAGCACGTATTAATCCTACAAGAGCAATGGGATACATAAAAGTTGTAGGCAACTAAGCCACAATTGCCTGAATATAATAATTTTTGGGAGACACTAATATTTCGATTTACAATTGAATTCGAGCAATTTTTTGAATTTTATTTTTAACAAAAATTACGAAGGAGAAAAATGAAAATTTGTTGTTAAAAAAAATGGAATGTTTTATTTTTTTCAGAAATTTCGTGCAAAATTAAGGAAATTCTTTAACAGTAAAAATTGAGAAATGATCAATTCCAAACGAAAACTATTTTTTAAATGAGCATTATGTTTAGCAAAATTAAATAATACCTTTTGCTTCAAATAAATTGAATTAAAATGACGAAAACTGTATTAATTTTATTAGTCCATTGTGTTTTTCTCTCGACAACTGAGAATTTACTGAAACAACAAGAAAATGATCATTCCTTCATAATAATACCATTTGTCTGCACAACTGTTATAATAATAATAATAATAAGTGAGTCTAAAACAAAAGATGATAATTGCCGGAGGATTTAGTCGTTCACATTTCTTGATGTAATTCATGAAATTTTTCAGACACGATACGTAGTGACACTAAAGGGTTGGGCGAATACGTCAAACAAGATTATTATGAATGGACGAACTGTAATTAGTGTTCGGGATTATTGGATAGCTTCTATAGGTGACTCATTCGCTTCTGGTGAAGGCAATCCTGATATTCCAGCAGGCTTAATGAATATGGTTCCAGCTAAGTGGATTTCAGGTATTCCAATGATTGCCTACTAAGGAAAATATCAGCAAGTAGATTTTTTGGCAAACTTATATCATTATTTTAATTTGAATAGCAACATTAAGCCAATTATCACAAAGGATTGATAAGACAAGCTGATACAATGAGAATCTGGAACTTCTGGTTTTTATCAGTTAGCATCAGACCGTTTATCTTATTGAAGCGAATAATAATTTTCTATCTCGTTAATTTGTATCAATTAATCCTTTAAGATCTTTTAAAATGAGAAATTATTTTTATCAACAATTCTATCCGATTAATAGAATTGTACCAGCGGGAATTACTTGAATCCTGCAAAATTCAATATCTCACCAAATCTAATGCTACGAATAAAGTAAATTTCTTTTGATCATGCCGACAAATTCCATAATTACTTTTACATTCACATAGAACAATAATGAGGTGGTTTTTGAACTTGAAATATCGAGAATATTTCATTTTATGGGTGAAATATTTAGTTGAATATGTTTTGCCATAAAAAATCTAGAATAACGACAATGAAAAAGATAGATTCGCTCTTTCCTAAGCTCACTTAATGTTGAAGAAAAATTTATATATATTTCAAGCATTTTCTATAAGTAAATAAATGAGAAAGAAATGCATAAATTAATACAAATATAACTTATCGGATCGGCGACCTTTTCATATTCCTCTGAGACTTTTTTTAATGAGGCTTTCGGCATTAGAATCTTAATCAAATATCGAATTATATAAGTGATCGGTCGATGGATGATCACTTAATCATCTTATAATGACGACTCGATTTCGAATATTTAGTTTACATAATGATAAATATTTGATGATAAACCACAAATGAAATTTTTAATAAGTTATGACAATTTAAAATATGAAATGATTGGTGTTCGATAAAAAAAAAAAACTTATTAAGCTTGAATATTTTTTCAGTTTAATGTCTCCAAAAATTATTGCAATTCTATTTTATTTAAATATATCTTTACGAATTTTTTACGAGAGCCCTCACCATTACTGGTTAGACTCGCTTTGCTGACTTGTCGCACTAGACAAATATGCCGGGGAGTCCCTGCGGGGAGTAGTGCCTTATTATCGGCGCTCCGAATCGAGCAACAACCCACTGAGCCATTCTACTCCTTATTGTTCTTAATCTTCAATAATTAATCTTTATTAATTCATTAATATACTAAATTTCGCTTTGCAGATCAATGTCATCGAAGTAGTCGTTCGTGGGCATTCAAGGTGTTCGAAAAAATTCTCAATGAAACCCATGATGACGCAATCCACTTCACCTATATACCTTGCACAGGCGCTTCTGTGGACAATGGTATTCTCATTTCCGCAAAAGGCGATTCACAAATGGATACGGTACTACGCATTTCGAAATTACGGTATAGTTAAGTTTTTTTGCAAAATATTTTAGATAGCTATGAGTTTAATATGAACTTGAGATAAAATATGCCTGAAGTGGCCTCGGAAATAAATTAAATTTAAATGATCAAATGGTTTGAGGTTTTTCGAATTATATTTATTAATAGATGCTTTAGAATGTTGGTAATATCCATCGCTATGCCCACCAAATGCAGCTTCAGTTAAGAAATGAGATAATTAATTTTAGCGAGGCTTTTAGCAAAGAGAAAATGTAAAATGTAAATGAAAAATCCTTTTAAAATGTAAAATGAATTAAGGTAGTTGGTAGTTATAAAAAAGCTTAATAAAACAGCTATAATTTAATTAAATTTGATAAATTTTATCCTTTTAAAATCGGCTCACTTTGCCCACAAGTCCACAAAGCAATTCATTTGCGGCTTTCAGTGCTGCTATTATATACTCGAAGATTGAAAGATAAGTTCAAGGATAAGTTCATGTTATATATCAAAGATTATATATCAAAGAATATCAAAGATTAGTGTATCAATATATCAAAGATTCAAGTAAACAAAGAGATACATATTTCTAATCGTACCGCTCTTCTTGGCATTTAGGGTTATATTGAGGGAACTATTATCCTGGGATTTGTCCATTTCCATACTGTTATTAGATGTAAGGGTTCAAAACAGAGGCGTAAACTGGAATGATAAATTCTATACAAATATAAATTCATTGAATATTAAAGTATCTTAGCCTGGGAATACAGCCGATTACAATACAATTAAATTTTAACAATTAAATTTCTGGGACACAGCTATGCAAAATGCAATAAGTAATTTAATAGGTCTTTTCTAGCGGATCAGGGCCTGACTTGTTATTAATGTCAGTCGGAGGGAATGACATTGGATACTCGGAAATTCTTTCATCTTTAATTTGGGGAAAAACCACCACCCTTTTTGAAACAATCGACATGCGATTCTTCTATGCGTCATATCAATTCGATCGCCTTGCTCTAACATTGAAAAAAATAAAACCATCACAGGTGAGTTTTTTCTCGATTATGTTAAAATCACTTATTGCTATTAAATCATGTTTGCTGATTTTTTAAGCCTTAGCGAAACTCAATCAATTTTGTAAGATATTATATATGCCCACATTTTTTAACAAAAAATGTAAAAATAATTACTTAAAGAAACCTGAAATCATTAGAACTTTGTTAACAGAAGAATTTAAGGCTTCCAATAAAATGAATGGAAATGGCAGTCGATTATAAAATAAAACATCGGTTATAAATACATATTTAATGTTATATACCTAATAAAAATGCCTGGCTAAGATCTTAATAAGAATAACTGGTTAAGATTTTAAGTTAGTCTTACAATATGATATGCAAGCAGTTATTGCTTAGTAAATTATTTTTAGATAGTAATACCGCATTACTTCGATTTAACTCGAAACGAAAGGGGTATTATTGATGCAGATTGTGCAGAAATGCGTCAGGTACCATTGAAAAATGCATAGCATAGGATATGTTAAGACAATATTTTTATTGAATCCACTAATTATTCTCGTAATATTTCAGATCAGAACAGAAAATTTAATTCTGGCGGAAAAGAAAATCTTACAACGAATCAATAAATTAATTTCGAAGAAAGCTCAGTTGTATTGCTGGACCGTTGTAGACGAAGTGGCTGAACTGTTTCGTTCGAGAGGGTTCTGTTCGACACGTTCACTAATACGGCTAGCTTGCAAATTAATATTCTTTTATATGGCATTTTTAATTATCTATTTTACCATTATAAACTCTTTTTGCACGTATTCTTGTGAATATTTATTTGGCTTTTTCAAAATTATTTCAACTGTTAACTAGTTCTAGTACCGTTAGAATAAAGCTCACTGGTTAGAAATTTACAGTACCATTAGAATATGACCCAATATTTAGAAATTCAATTAGAAGTAGAACTGGGTTGTACAGCTGGGTTCCTAACACCATCGAAATTTCATTTTAATGGCAAGTTTATATCTTCAAGAGGAAAAAATTAAATATATGATGCTTATCCCCAGTCGAAGCTATAGACAAGTTTCCAGTATCCTTTTTGTCGGCGATGTTATTTATTTCTAAATACATAAAATTATAATTTTATATCAAATATTTTCAAGAAATAATTGAAAAAATCAAAGACAATTTATGAAAATTTCTTAGTTAAAAATTATTGGAACTAAATGACTTATTGGGCATTAAGCTTATTGAACTTTTTTTGTAGGAGTGTTCGAGATTCATTACGATTGCAAGGCAACAGTTTTGGTGCATTTCATCCAATTGAAGAAGCACATCAGAGTATTGCTGATTTGATATGGAACAAGCTAAAATTTCAGTTCCATTACAACCATTAACTGATTTTGAAAAAAGAAACGAAGCGGGTGATTTAAGTCGATCATAAAGAAATCCAAGCAAAAATCATTTCCATTTAGCTTATAATTTAGCTGAATTACTTTCACATCATTAAGCGTTATAGCTTTATTTAATCACATCACATAGCATCTCATCTAAGAAATAATTAATATTCTAATTCTGTCGTATAATTTATAAACTTTGAAAGCTTTTTGAATTAAATTGCTAGAAAGGTAGGAAAGGTATTTATTAAGATTATTAGATATTTTATATATCGTAAATTATGAAAATTCGAAGAAAACAGTGCAGTGCGAAAGGAAATATTTTATCGAAAATTGTTTAACGTCCGAACTCAGTAGTGCAGATTTTTATGACTTTATAGTTTAATGGTTCTATAAGTACACTTGGCGCATTTAGAGGAGCTCCCGAGGAATTTGCAGGGATCTGTGTGGTCAAAACTATTTTATTATTTTTGTTATTATATATAATAAATATATTTTTAATATATAATATTTTTATTAAACATAGTAATACATAATATTAAAATATTTAATATATAATATTTTTATTGTATTTTTTTTCCTTTTATTAAGTTAGATTTTTGCAGATTTGCGAAAATTTCATTTAAAATGTCACTCTTCTCATTAAAAATTTATTTTTTGAAATGTTTTAAAATATTTTTTTCATTTAATAAATCGATTATTATCATTTTAAATGGTTTCTTAATTTCTGATAAAACGAATATACATAGATATCAATCCTCTAGGTTATACGTAAGTTAAAGGTCTTTAGGAGTCCTTAATAATTTCCAGGGACTCGAAAAGGTAATCCGAGGAAATTGGGCAACATAGGCAGAAGGGGATGTGTGCACTAGGTTGGTAACAACCTTTCCTCTTATTCGGAGCAAAGGATCTTTATTAATCTTTATTAATTATGTGACCAATGATCCATACTCTTGCGAATTATTTATTTGCATTTTTTAATTTTTAATCAATTTAATGTAGCAGGCGATTTTTTCTGTAAATGAAAACTTTTTTTGTAGTTTCCAATGTTTTATTTGTTTTACATTCATTCATTTTACAGATTTTTTACATTCATTGAAACATAAATATTTCTTGAAATAGTGCAGAAAAAAAAGAGCTTAAATGGAATTATTGTGCGATTTTGATCAATGACAAGCGATTTTTAATTAAAAAGTTTCATAGTAAAACTGAATAACAATCAGTTGAATAATTTGAGCGTAATTTCATGGCAATTATTTATTCTTTTACTATAAATTTCGTTAAAAAGAACTTCGAAATTGATGAAATAAGTAAATTCGACTGCCATCTATGTTACTTTATGAGACAATAAATAGAATCTAAACGAAATAATAAAATTCCGAAAGAGATTTACTTAATTGAGATTTTGTCTATCCAGAAAACCACTCTTAAAAGCAAGACTCTAATAGATTTTGTTCACAAGAAAAATATTAAAAATAAAGGCTAAAAAAACAGCTTCAAATTCATGCCAAAAACCTCAAATGAACAAAAATTTCTTGCAATCAACTAAATTCATCTTTATCCAGAAAATAATTAAGCGTTTCATTGCTTTTTTTTAAGGGTCCTCACCATTATTGGTTAAATTCGCTCCGCTGGCTTATCGCACTAGATAAATATACCAAGGAGTCTCTTGGATAGAAATACAGGTGAGTCGTCAGCATCACCCGATTTTTTGGACAGGTTTACTCATGCGGGGAATAGAACCTCAGCATCCGAATTGAGCAACAACCCACTGAGCCATTCTATCCAATGCTTGCTTCATTGCTTTCTGGTCAAATTCGAGGTAATTCAGAAAAGTAATTTTGCAAGAAGGGAAATTAGTGGTCAAGGTTTACAAATCACAACAAATTTTAGGAAATTTGTGCAAGAAAAATTTGCTGAAAATTTGCTAACTCTGTAATTTATCATATAAGGCAAACAGCCAAGACAACTCAGTGAGTTGTTACTTTTAAATATATCATTATCAATTCTAAATTTTTTTCTATCGAAAGATATAGTAGAAACTGAAATAAAATTATCTCTCATATCAGTGATAAAAATATAATATCGAACATATGTAATGGGCATATAACTTGAATCCAATAAAACTGATTGCTATTTTATCCATTTCAATTTGCTGTATTTATCTCAAATAAAAGTTCTCAAATTTTCTCAAATAAATTATTCATTTTAATCTTAAAAATTACAACCTATTTCGAAATAAAGAAAAAATGCATTTAACAATTCTAATGAAAACTAATATTTTTTTTGATTTAAATTGTATTTATGAAATTTTTTTATTATATACATTATGTTTGATTTTAAATCCGAGTAACCGACCAATCAATGTTTTCTTTTTCCATATATTTAAATAGAATTTAGAGATTTTCGGAATAAATAGGCTTTGACAATGATCTGTTCACCTTCATTAACCTTGACCTTGGAAAAATTCTCAATAAAACTGAAATAAATATCCACGTTCATTTGAAATAGATTCTCGACGACTTTTTTTTCTGGAAATAACGCAGCCGCAAATGTTTATTTTGTTCGCTTGTGTAAACATGACTGTTACTTGTGCTTCTGTCCAGTTTATATACGCTCCCATTGCTTTAATTTTGTTTGTTTTTCCGATACATTATCTTTCATTAACTATAAATCGAAGCAATTTTTTCATAAACTCCATTTTATAAAAATTCTGTTTGTAAGTAGTTGTGTTCGATGGCTTTTTTTCTGCAAAAAGTTCGGTTATTTCGTTTACTCACTTCGAATTATAAATAATAAATTCTGGGATCACTAAATTTTCCATGTACTTTTTATTTTAATCACAATGTTACATTTTTCATGAATTTTTTTGCTCTAAAATTTTATTATTGCCATGCGTATGACTGTCTTTAATTTTCAATTAATCCTTAGTTAAATAAACTGAAATAAAATAATAAGTGCACATCATTTCTCGCTCCATTGGCTGCTAAGTATGATTAGAAATTTTTTTTTGCTAGTAAATCACTTGAGGATTCAAATAGAGAAGGCATCAGCATCACAGGAATTTTTATAGGTTTACTCTAACAGGAAACAGGATTAAAAGTTTAATGCTCCATACGATAATCCGAACAACGCCTATTCACGATTTATGTTCTCTTTAACCCGAATTAGGCAGGCTCCTAGAAAGAGAAGGCCTTCCTAAGCCACTCAACTCGATACTAAACTTAAGAATCACAGAAGCCATTGCTGCCCACTGAGAAAAGAACTGCTGAGAGCTACAACGAACGATTTCGAAAGGATGTATTCAGTTCTCCATACATATAGCCTTGCTCGTAAAATGCCTTAATGAGTCGGTTGATTCTCTCTAAGCACTGCTTTGAGCTGATTTTTCCAAAATCTTTCTTAGCATGAATATTTGTTCATTATAACCACACTATAATTTGAAACGAGTTTGGCATCATGCTGCTTCGTACTGCCATTAATTTATTCAACAAGTGAAAGGGAAATTTTTCAAGAGATATCTAGCAAGCTAATTCCTCAGTTGCAAACTAGAGTTGCAAATGGTTTGGCAAACATTGGGATGGCGTCTAATCTCAAAGAATTTTCTCCGCCGTACAAGAAGAAGAAAATTATAAAAAAAATAACATCCACCAAAATTGCGGTTATTTTAGTTCATTAACCAAGGAAGAGTAGCGAAGAGAGTGAAACGTATTATATGATCGTCTCTTAGAGCATTCGTTTCCACATTCACCGCCCAATCACTCCAATAACGGTTTTCCACCATTGTACCCCTAGAAGGGTGCGATAATTAAGATTTCCCAATATAAATAAATATTCTGGTGACATTTTTCGAATTTAATTATTTCTATCGATATCCAACAGACGCATATACTAGCCGCTTAGATTTGTGTGACTTTAGGAGGCACAACTTCAGTTGAGATCAATATTCATCGGGCCATTCAAAAAATACCATTGATTCACATCATTCAGGTATTTCGATAAGTCAATTTGAAATATGCTTACTATATTATCCATATGTCTTGGCGTAAGAATTCAACAAAATTTGGAGGTTTACTTTTCGCGCCTTGTCAGTTTCATGTGGATGTTAGGAACCATAATAAACCAGTGATACGGATTTTGAAAAAAAGAGGCGCTGTTAGCACTTGAAGGTCTGCATAAAAACTATTTGTCATGACAATCTGCGTATGAAATAGGAGCATACTGATGACCGAGACATTGCAGAATTTCTCTTTGAAATGAACGCAAGCTATCCGATTAAACTTTCAATAGTCTTCTCAGATACTAGCTATACCATTTCGTCCAGATTATTCGAACGATAAAACAGTGATAAAATCGGTACCTTTGGAAGATAAACTGAGCCAGATAAACTTAAGATGTGCAAGGGATCCCCACATAATATTTGGATGTCTCCCAATTTCTAATATTCTAATTCTAAGAATCGACCGACAATTGTTGGCCTTAATAATTACTTGGCTCTTAAGAACTCACTTCGTTCCACATCCTATTAGCGCAGGCCCAACTTTTTTTTACTTTCTGCATGTACCACCGGGCTAGTGATATCAAAGAGATGTTGGCTGGGAGGACGCAGATACAGTATTAAGATAAACAGAAATCGTCATTTTCAGATTTTTATGCTTTATATGATTTATATTTTTCTGTTAAAAAACGTTGAAAAAGTGAAACGTTGAAAAAGTGTATAATATTATTTCAACAAATTTTATGATATTAATGTTATTATTATTTTTATTATTTTTTTTTATAAATATAAAATTTACGATGAAATTACGGAAAATACGAGGTTTCGAGAAAGTGCAAGATCTAATCCATTCAAACAACATTTATTGTGGATAATTAATATTATTATGAAGCTTAGATTCGAGACGAAGAGAACTAACAAGACGAATATTCTTAAATAATTTTTATTTATAATTTGCGTTAAAATCAATTTGAGTTTTCTCATTCAAATAGATTTTTTTAAA